GGTACAGGGTGAGGTAGGTGGGTGGGAAGTGTGTGGTGCTGTGCTCCTCAGGGCAAGCTGCACGCCAGCGCGCCTCAAGGGACTGGAGGTGCGCTACCACGTTGGCTACAGTGGAGAAGGTGGCTAGGTCGGGGAAGAGAAACGACAGAACCAGACGACGTAGGGTGGCTGAGGACTGGGTGGAGTAGCGAGCGACAACTGCGTTCCAGATACCCTTAGTAGTCTCGAGCATCTCAAAGTGAGTCTGCTCGTCAGAGGGGAGGGCCCTAGTGACTACCAGCTACGCAGCTTTGCTGGACTGCCAGATAGAAAAAGCGGTTAGGGCAGTCTCAAACTCGGTTTGCTTTGTGGACGTCGCGTCAGCAGCAGGAGCAGCGGGCTCTGAGGGGCAGCTGAAGTACCCGAAGTGTGGGCCACAAGGGCCTAGCCATCCTGGCGGATAGACGTGAGCTGGCAGCGGAGAGCGACCAGGCCAAGAAGCCAATCGCGCGACCCTCGGCGTCCAGGCGGAGGACAGCGGCAGGTGGGGTTACCATACTGGCAGCCGGCGGTGATGACGACCGCAGTAGGGGCGGCAGTGGCGACTGCAGCAGCGAGCTGCTGGAGGCGGCGGCACCATGAGGCTATTGGTGGCAGTGGTAGGAGCGGCGGTAGTGGCGGCTGCAGTGGCAGCGGCGGCACTGGTAGGAGCAGCGGCAGGGGCTGCTGTAGTGGCGGCTGCAGTAGCAGTGGCGGCAGCGGTAGGAGCAGCGGCAGGAGCTGCTGTAGTGGAGGCTGCAGCGGTAGAGGCAGCAGCGACAGGAGCGGCTGCAGCAGCGGCAGCGACAGCGGCAGGAGGAGCAGCAGCTGTGGCAGGAGCAGCGGCAGCGGCTGCAGTGGGAGGAGCGCCGGCAGTGGCAGTGGCAACGGCAACGTGGCGGCAGCGGCAGCGGCAGCGGGCAGTAGTAGCAGCGGCAGTGGCAGAGGTAGCTGCAGTGGCAGTGAGGGTCCTACGCCTGACGCAGCAGGGGAACCTAGACTACACATAGGGGACACACGTATGCTAGGCGACACCGGGAAATAGGGTCCAATTTCGCTAGAGTCATCAGCATACATGACAGACATAGCAGTCCTAATCTGATCCATGTCAAGCTCACACACATGCACACGGCGGCGAGCCAGCGCGTACTAGTCAGGAGGGTCCGATGTGGGACCGAAGCGGTGGCGGAAAAGGTCGTCTAGGTGGCAGTAGCAGCGGCCAGCAGTGTGGCAGGGCCGCAAGCAGACAGTGCCGCGGCGGGGGTCGATCTGAAGCTGGTACTTGCAGGCGAGCGCACTGGAGCCGCCACCCAACACCGAGCTGCGCCCACCATCACCACAACCGCCACCACTAGCGCCACCAATCCACCACGGCGGTGGGGGTCCCCACGACGACTGCTGCTGCGGCTGCTGGTGCTGCTACGGAGGCTGGTAGTGCTACTGCTGAGGCTGCGGCTGCTGCTGCTGCTGCTCCGGGGCACAAGCCCCAGTCCCCTCGTCCGAACCACCGTCCCCGCCCCCACCTCCTCCACCCTCCCCACTCCCACCCCCACCCCCCTTTCCTCCACCACGCCCCCCCTTGGGGCGACCGCCCTTACCCGGACGCGGCTGCGCTGAGGCCGCAACGGCAGGCTCAGCAGCCGAAGCAGAGACGTCACAGTAAGAGCACTTGGAGGGAGAACAGCCCTGAAAGATAGGCACCGCCGCAGTACCGCTAGACTGAGCGATAGTGCACTGGCGGGTCTCTATTGCAGACAGGGCGGTGACAAAGGCGGGCAGGGTGAGGTCACCCATGTGCTGACTAAGGAGGTGGTCGCGGGCTGTGGCTAGGCGGTCAGGGAGGCACGTGGCAATGAGGTAAAGGGTAGCACAGAGCGGCGACAGAAAGGGAGTGAGCCGAGCCTTAGTGCTAGCAGCGCGGTAGCTAGTCTCAATAGCACGGAGATGAGTGGCAAGGTCAGCGACAGTGGGAAAGGATGCAAGATCAGTGAACAGCATGGGGAGGATCAGGCGGCCAGCAGAGGCGGAGGCGGGGTTGGAATAGCGCGCAATGACTGCATCTAAGAAAGCCTGGGCGTTCGCTACTGTGGTAAAACGGGGACGCTCAGACAGAGGAAGCGCGTGACTAATACTAAGTTGCGCGACGGCGTCGCGCGAGTCCCAGACAGCACGAGCAAGCGCAGCAGCCGAAAAGGCCTCACGCTCAGCAGCGGTGGGGGCGTCAGGGAGGGCATCAGGCATAGCGCGTCGGGGAAGCAGGCCATCGACATGAACAGCCAGGGAGTGATCGTCCTGGCGCTGACCTATAAGGTGCCGACGGAGGTTGACGAGCCACGCCTCAAAGTCTATCGCCTGACCCTCCGCGTCCAGGCAAAGCAGTGAGTCCGCCATCACCACGGCTGCAGTAGCTGACTACCGCTGACAAGGAGAGGAGGAAAGGCAAGGGAAAGCCGTGGAGAGCAGTGGAGAGCAGTGGAGTGCGGTGGAGTGCGGTGGAGGGTGGTGGAGAACACTGGAGTGTGGTGGAGAGTGGTGGAGAGTGGTTGAGTGCAGTGGAGTGCGGTGGAGAACGGTGGAGTGCGGTGGAGTGTGGTGGAGAGCGGTGGAGAGCGGTGGAGAGCGGAGACAGCCGGCAGATGTGCCGGCGCAGAAGGGAGCCAAGGCCAGTAGGTCGGGAGCAGTGGCTGGCCGGCGCGGCGTCCGGTGCGGGCTGTGGCCGGCAGAGCAAGAGCTGGTGGCGCTGGGGGCTGACGAGGGAGGGGCCAGCTAGCTGGGGGCCGGCGAGGCGCACAGGGCTAGCGGGGCGCACGGGCTTGCGGGGCGCTAACGGGATCAGCGGGGCGCACGGGGCCAGCTGGGCGCACGGGGCTAGTGGGGCGCGACGGGGCTAGCGGGGCGCGAGCGGGGCCAACGGGGTGCACGGGGCCGGTGGCGAGTACGGGGCCAGAGGGGCGCACGGGGCTAGCGGGGCACGCACGGGGCCAGCGAGGCGCGAACTGGGCCAGCAGGGCGAGCGGGGCGAGCGGGGCGGACAGGGCCGGTGGGGCGCACGGGGCTTGCGGGGCTCGACGGGGCCAGCGGGGCGCTAACGGGGCCAGCGGGGCGAACTGGGCCAGCAGGGCGGTCGGGGCCAGCGGGGCGCACGGGGCTAGTGGGGCTCTGTGGGGCCAGCGGGGCGCTAACGGGGCCATCGGGGCTAACGGGACCAGCGAGGCGTACGGGGCTGGCGGTGCGCACGGGGCTCGACGGGGCTAACGGGGCGCGGACGGGGCTAGCGGGGCGTTGAGGGGCCAGCCGGGCGTACGGGGCCAGCAGGGCGCACAGGGCCAGCAGGGCGCTAAGAGGGCCAGCGGGGCTCTACGGAGCCAGCGTGGCGCTAAGGGGCCATCGTGGCGCTAACGGGGCCAGCGAGGCGTTAACCGGGCGGCCAGGGCTAGGCATAAGGCGGAAGCGCGGGTGGGCGGGGGGGGGGGGGGAACCTAACCTAGCGTGATACCATATTAGAATGAGAGAATGAATAACTAGGATGGGAGGTACAGGGTGATTTTGTACTAGTTCGTTGTACCCTCTTAGAGCATGCACCTATCTAGCCTATAATAACATATACAAATATGTTTGACATCAAACTATTAGAAGGCTAGCTTAGCTAGGAAGCTAGGAAAGGCATGAGGTTTAGCTAGGAGGAGCCATGGAGTGGCGTGAGGTTTAGGAAGGAGAAAATTTGAGGAGAGAAAAGGGATTGGAATAGAAAGAGAGAGGCATACAAGGAGGGGATTGTACCCTCTACAGTAGTTCGGTAACCTACCAAGCCTAATAATTATATAACTCAATATATAATTTAACACACCCCCTAGGCTTGGTACTCACAAGCCCACACACACCCTCACACCCCCTAACCTAGCACCCCCATTCCCATCAGCCACAACGACTCCAACAGGGCCCACAAGGCCCTGGAGATGGCGACGGCGGCAGTCCCGGCCGCGGCGACAGCGACGGCGACGACGGGCGTGCGGCGGCAAAAGGCCTGCGGCGATGACAGCGGCGACGGCGACGGCTTCGGCTTACGACGGCGGTGAGTGCAGCGGCCCCCGCCCTTCCGGCGGCGTGTCCAAACTCCGCGACAGGGGGACGACAGGCGAGAGTCAGGCGGCGGCTGTGGCGAAGAGGAGGGGACAGAGGAAAGGGGGAAGGGGCGGGGCTTTGGATCTTCAGCGCGGCGCCACAGGCGTCGCGCGGCCGGCTGGCGTGCGGGTGGGCAGTTTAGCGGCGCCACAGGCGTCGCGCGGCCGGTTGCAGCCCGACGCCGCCGTCACAGAGCGGCGTCGACGCTGCTGCGGGACGTCGACGCTACGACGGCAGCACGGCGGCCCGACGCCACGGCAGCGCGTCGAGACGGCAGCGGCATGACGCCGCCACTGCAGCACAACGCGGCCGCCATGGCCATGCGAGCGAACGAGGGCAAGGAGTACGCGGCGGAAGCGTGAGGAGGCGGTCCAGCAGGGAGGAACTCCTGCTCTAGTACCATGTTAGAAGGCTAGCTTAGCTAGGAAGCTAGGAAAGGCATGAGGTTTAGCTAGGAGGAGCCATGGAGTGGCATGAGGTTTAGGAAGGAGAAAAGTTGAGGAGAGAAAAGGGATTGGAATAGAAAGAGAGGCATACAAGGAGGGGATTGTACGCTCTACAGTAAAGTTTGGTAACCTACCAAGCCTAACAATTATATAACTCAATATATAATTTAACACAAACTCCCCTAAAATTTTCGTCAGATGGCCAGACAAAACTTTGAAACCCCGTCTGATTCTCAGACAGCCCTAAATCCTAGCTGAAACCCTGCACGAAACCCCACGAATGTAAAAAACGCAGTTCGCCAAACCTTCAAACCCTAAAATAGCGAACTGTTCTTGCGCAAACCCTGAACAGCGTAGGTTTTTGTCGTTTTGACGAATTGTCTAAATCAATGCGATTGGTAACATTCTCAAATTTTTAGATCAAGATGTTTGTTTGCCTTGTTTGAATCACCTCGTTACTGTACATGTTAAGCAGCCCAAATTCTCCCGACGGGCAGAATGAACGGCCGAAAAGTATAACTGAGCGGACTTTCCCACCCACCCTTAATTTCGGTGAGCCTGCTATCTGGGCAGGCAACATTCAGGGCAACACAACAACTATCCATTCCAATACCATCTCCCAAAGCTGCAGAGCACAATGCAGGCATCTGGCACCATCACCATCTGTTTGAGAAGGCAACATCTAGGTCTGACGACCACCATGCTGATAGCACCTACTCTTTTTTTCTCCTCTCTTGCTGTGCTGCCTTTCTCGCCCTGTGCTTGAGCTCCGCTCTCTTCCACTTCACCATCAATTCTACCGTGCTGACCATTAGTTGTACCTGCATGAGCACACACCCACACAGGAGAGGGCGGAGGAGGGAAAGGGTGAAATCTGCTCTCTTCCACTTCACCATCAACTCTATCGTTCTCACCATCGGTTGTACCTGCATGCACACACACCGGAGGAGGGAGGGAAAAGAGATGCAGGAGAAAGAGAGAGAGAGAGAGAGAGAGAGAGAGAGAGAGAGAGAGAGAGAGAGAGAGAGAGAGAGAGAGAGAGAGAGAGAGAGAGAGAGAGAGAGAGAGAGATGAGGCCCAGTCGGCTGCCCTGGGGCCGATTTCTTCCTGGGGGATTGTTTTGCCATTCTCGAGCCACGAGCCGAGCTGCCCTAGTGGGCTCCACTAGGAGGGGGAGGGGTAAGGGATGAGCTTGCGTAGATTCCTCTCACCTGTCTCGGTTGCACCCAGGTTTCAATAAACATATGGACCGCTTGAGAGAGAGGAGGGAGGGGGTTAGGATGGGAAGAGGAGGGGGGTCATGCATTGCTTTCTTCCACTTCGCAATGATTCAACCGTACTCGCCAACGGTTGTACCTGCACATATGCATATGCGCACACAAGAGCATGAGGATGGAGGGAAACGGGATGGGAGGAGAGTGGATAGGCCTTGTTTTATTATTCTTCACAGCACCATCAGTTCAACCATACTCCCCACTTTTTTTTCAATTACCTTTCCGTGGGATTGTACAAGTTTGATAGACTAAGCATACCGCAAGACAAAGGCGAACACGCAAAAGTCATTTTTCTTAATGATTTTGGGATCGGAACAAAGAGAGAGAGAAAAAAAAGAAGAAAAAAGAGGCTGATGTTGGACTCCATGACTGGTACTAGAATTGCAATCCTGGAAGTATTGGGCCTGAAAAGGGCTGGCTGCAGTCAATCTGAAAGTTATCTGGCTAACAGAGACTTCAATCCTGATACCAGAATGAAAAGAATCGGGCCTGAAAGGCTGATTTGAGTAAATCTGAAGGTTGCCTGGATAGCGGACACTTCAATCCTAATACCAGAATGGCAATTCAGACTTTCGAGGCACCTCAAAATGACAATCTCAATGGCACGAATGGGGTCTGGGAAGTGCCGACCAATCTGAACTGAACCTGGACTAGGGTCAATCTGACACTTACCTGCGACACAGACACTTGATTCCTGCTTACCAGAATGACAATCCCGATGACAAGAATCGGGCCGAAGAAGAGCACCGACACAAAGAGCCCGTATTGGTCGAAGTAGTTCTGGCGGGAAAATGCCTTCCAGTGATGAGCAGCGTATGCGTTTATGTGCTCCGCTAGGTACACCAGTATGGCTGCAGTTGGGATTGCGGAGCGGGGTAAAGAGTAGTGGGGGGAAATACTTTTCAACAATGAGCAGCGAATGCGTTTATGTGCTCTGCTAGCTAGGTGATTTTTGAGTCGCCTAAAAAATGCTCTGCTAGCTAGGTACACCAGTGTGGCTGCATGATTGTGTTAGGGAGAAAAACGAAGGGGGAAGGGCCAGGAATATTAATACAAGGGCAGCATACGCGTTTATGTGCTCCGCTAGATGCACCAGTACACCTGCCGAATGGAAGCAGGGGGAAGAGAGTCGGAAGAAGCCCGGATAGACAAGCACAGGAGCAGTGTATGTGCTCAGCCAAGTACACCAGTATGCGAAGGTAGGGAGGAAAATCAATGGCCAACATGATGGTGACATGGATGGGTTAGTGAGTGCTAAGGTCTGTGATTCTCTGCCGTTCAGCATTCACACTCAGTCACCTTCACCTCCCTGCTGTTCTCAGCTCCTCATGTAGCAGCAACAGCACCAGCAGCGCACGCAGGCACCTCCCCGAAACCACTCTTAGCATAACGTGAATACGGTGACCTGAAAGTTCGTCCATCGCCGAGTGGGGAGGAGCATGAGAGAGAAAAGGAGGGAAAGAAACATCCTGTCCGGAGCAGGACGTGCACTCACCGCAGAAGGCGAACACGACAAACTGGAAGTTCTGCCATCGCCGTGTTAGAAGAACCATGAGGAGCAGCACGGCGTGGAACGACAGCAGACCGATGATCCACGGCTCCTGTGACGGATGCAATTCGCAAACAGGAAGATCGGAAGGACAAATCGCGGAGTGAGGAGGATCATCGAAAGCAGCACGGAGTGGTAGGACAGCAGCAGACTGATGATCCACGGCTCCTGTGACGGACGCACCTACGCAACCGGGGAGACCTGGGAACTTCGAAAGAATGAACCGAATACAAGCACCATCTCGCCAAGGTCACTCGTCCTGATAACCCCTAAAAATAACTCCTCGTAATAACCTGAGCCTTGGCTTCGTGTCACGGACCAAGGGCTCTTCGGACGAGTCAAAGCTTAGCTACGTGACGAGCGCGGATCGATGGCTCTAGAACATCAGGCTTCTCACCGTCCAATCAACGGCGTGGATGAACGCCTGAATCTGGTCCGTGATCGGAGGGCCCTCGGTAACCTCCTTCCATTTCGACTTGAGCGCGTCTGAGAAGCTTTGAAGAAGGCTCTCGAATTCGTCCATTTCAACCCCCGGAGCCTGCTGTGTCACAGAGGGGAACACCAGAACGATCAGCTGTAAGCTGCAACTGTGTTGATCGTGACTGGATTTGCGGAGAATCAGCGATGACCGAGTCGTCCGAGTCACCTAAGGACGTCAGGAGGGGATGTCTTTACTGGGAGAATCGATCGCCGACGCAGAAGGATTCAGCATACGCGTCATTGTGAGGATCCCAGAGATTCTCAAAATACTTCGACATATTCTCATAAACCCTTGTTCTCTAAACTAAAGTGCCCAAAATTCAACGTTCACTCAATGACATACATAATGTAAACTGTGAGCCTGCTTACCCCGGAGAGCATGCTATCGAATCCCAGGCAGACGAAGCTTCCGGCAGGTTCCTGACCGACAAAACAGGGCAATGATCAGGAGCCACTTCCCGAACATGGAATAAAGATTCGAAGCTTCCACACGAAGGTTCCAAGGCCCCGAGCTAGGGCTCTACACTGCGGGCAGCCCCCAAAATCATAAAAAAATGGTCGAGCCTGGCGCCAAATGTGCGGCGCAACCACCTAGCCAATGCTGGATGTTTGCTTCAGTACTACATCCAGCTCCCCCATCGGCAGAATAGCTCTGCAGCGGTATTTGCAGATACAGATTGGATGCTTGAATTGGGCAATATCTTCCCTAGCATGCTGGCTTATTCCTCCGCATCTGGCAAGCTTGGAAAAAAAAACCATACACTCCCAACAAGGGGCAACCAGATTTATGAGCCCTCGCTTCCCAACCCACGCCATGTCAAACTCACAAGTCCAACACACAACAACCCATTCGACCTTGCAAGAGGATCGCATTAGCAGGCGCCCCCTTCCTGTCGGGCATTTTTTTGTTTAGGCAAATTTTACGGTTTACCCGTTGCTGCCCTGCTACAGTGCCCTGGAATGTTGTGAAATATCAATTTAATGAGCGAGGCTTCCGAAAGGGTGCCTCGCACTTTCATTTAGTTTCCCCCCTCCTCCCACCTTTCCCCCCCACGAGGCATGTCGGTCGGGCCGCGTTCGGGGTAGGTGTCGGTGGCACACGAACCCCTCTTGACCACCGAAACCTACCTCCCCCATTTCCTAAACCCTTCCCAGATGTTTATTCCTAGTGGCACCCGAACATCGCCCAGTAGTAGCCAAGGCACCGGTACAGCGGCACTCCGATCTACTTTCTAGGTTCCTGACTCTTCCAAGTCACTCTTCGTTCTCCGAGGCCGTTGATCTCCAGTTCTTATTAATTTACGTCCCTGCTAATCAGACGGCTGACTGCTTTCAGCTAAGCTTCGGCAACCATGGTACATAAGCGTGCAGTGCTCGTCTTACGCTTAATTCTATCGTTTCATGCTTTGTTGAGAGCTGTTGCCTCCATTCCAGTGTCTGTACAACTTTTTCCTCTTCGCTGCAGGTCTGCGTCTTTTGCCACCTCCCTCTCTTTCTCCTGCCTTTAGTCAACATCCTCCTGCGTTTGTGGGACAAACTACTGGTAAGCCGTTGGTGCTTACAACCAACCACTGAATTTCTCCGCTTGCCTTCAGCGTCGATTTCTACTGATACAAGCTGGCTTGTTCCTGATTCGTATCAGTTAGTGACCTCGTCTTCCATTAATCCTTCTACTGTCAATCTTTGTACGTCAAGCATTGTGCATCAATTGTACTTCGTTAATCGTTCTGTGCACTGCTCCTCTCTTGCGCCATCCCCTTATCTCCATCCTTTTCCTGATGCCGTCCGCCCTCTCCGCAGGTGCTCGTCTTCCGTCTGATTGGCCGAGAGTACAAACTCGCGCTTAGGGACGGACCCTCGTGCCCTTACAAACAGGGAGCAAACAAACCACAACCAATTAGAGAGCCTCTCTTTACTGTCCTTCCTGTTCCCACCCTCCTTTTTTCCCTTGTCCCTCACTCACCTCCCCTAACCCACCCCCCCCCCTTCCCTTGTCTCCCTTACCTTCTTCCCCTACGTCTTCCCACCTTGAAATGCACTCCGTCTCATGCTTTGCCTCCCCTCCGTTTATTCCTCTGTTAATTTCCAGGAAAGCTAACCACTCCCCCTGTCCTCCGATTTCTCAATTTGCATTATCGCCTTGCGGGAGGCTGAGCCAGTTCTGGCAAATGGTGGCGGAAGTTCAGTGAATGGCTCTATTGAGTCCAAGAAAGACTCATAACATGCGAACAAGACTGATGCTGGTGGCTTTCTATTCACGTTATGTGTATAAATGGTGCCATTCTTTCTCATAATGTGAATGGCTGTCGTGCTGCTAAGTGATGGCTGATTAGTTAAGTTAACAACTTGCTATTGTTTCGTAACTGAACATCAGATACACAGGGCTGGGCGGGACTGCCTTTTCTAGAACAGTTTAAAATCACATGCTAAAAAGACACACGTTGGTGTTGAGTGACCCGCTGGGGTTGCCCTTGAGATCCTCGGGGAAGGGCCACAGGTGCAGAGCCTGGGGGGCTATGGGCGCACTTACCCGCTATTCAATAAGCCCTTTTAACCCAGTGGTTAGTGACTGGGTTTCTGACATGGTACATCAGGGTCAAAGGTCTTGGGTTCAATTCCCAGTGCCAGCGCTGCAGAGGCGCTCGTGTCTTCCACCTATCCCGGCGCGGGGGGGGTGTTGAGTGACCCGCTGGGGTTGCCCTTGAGATCCTCGGGGAAGGGCCACAGGTGCAGAGCCTGGGGGGCTATGGGCGCACTTACCCGCTATTCAACAAGCCCTTTTAACCCAGTGGTTAGTGACTGGGTTTCTGACAGTTGGACGCTCTTGAAAACTTTTCTTTTTTTTAAAGATACATGGCTCAACTTTTAAGGGCATTTTACCGTGATTGCCCTTGCCAGCGGCCACTTTTTTCAGATCACCCTGATTTTGCAAGGGCATTTTTTTTGTGACCCTTTGTAAAAAAGTGTAAGTTTTGTTTACCCTGCTGTTGTACTGTAAGAGTACTCCGAGTTCTATCCTGACCAGACAGGGTGTCGCTGAAAACACACTGAAACAGACAAAAACAAGGCCCCCAGATTTGACAAGTTGCCTCGGACTACACGCGTGATTTGGCTAAGGGCCAGTCAAGCCCCTCACACCTGTTACAGCTCGCGTCGGACTGCATGCGTGCTATTCGCTAAGGGCCAGTCACGCCCCTCACAACTGCTCTAGCTCGCATTGGGCTGTCAACTTATATATTTCATATATATAGTTGTGTAGGCTTATTAGGTGCTCTACAACTGTGGATCCTACTGTAGAGGGTACACCAAACCTTCTTGTATCTCTCTCTTTTCTCTAGTCACTTTTCATACCTAGCTAAAACCTCTCGATATTCTCATGCCTACCTTAGCTTTTTAGCTCTTTCTAATGTGGTATCAGAGCAAGAAGATCTTGTTGAGTCTCCTATTCACACTTGCACCGCGCACTCTCTCCTCTCCTTTCACTTTTGCACCACCGAGGCGGCCTCCATGTGCTGATGTGGCGGCCTCACTGCGCTGCCCCGGTGACCTTGTCGAGCAGCTGTGGCGGCCTGGTCGCGTTGCCCCGGTGACCTCGACGAGCTACTGTGGCGGCCACGTCCTGCTGCCATGGCGGTCTCGTGGAGCAGCCGTGGCGGCCTTGCCGCGCTGCCGTGGCGGCCTGGCCGTGCTGCCGCAGCGGCCTTATCATGCTGCCGTGGCGTCGTCGTGCTGTCGCGGCGGCTTCGATGCGCCAGCGCATGGAAGGCTGCGGCCAGCTCGCACGGTCGGCTGCGGATGCAGCAGCGTACGGACGGCTGCGGCTGCGCCATCGCGCACGAACGGCTGTGGCTGCGCCAGCGCACGGACAGTTGCGGCTGCACCAGCGCGCACAGACGGCTGCGGCTGCGCCAGCGCACGGACGGCAGCAACCAGCACACTGTTTTAGGCGCCAGGCAGCACGCCCGCACGCCAGCCAGCGCGCCAGTCAGGGCGCCTCGCTGAAGACACTCTCTCTCCCCTGCGTCTCCCCTCATCCCAGCCGCAACTGATGGCTCCCTTCCCCGCCGTCGCCGGGCCGTGCCACGCCGCCGGGTGCCGTTGGCTTCGCAGTCGCTGCCGCCGTCGTCGAGGCTGCCGCTCCGCCGTCACCCGCCACCACCGCCGCCGCAGTCGTCGTTGTAGCTGGCGCTTACGCCGTTGCTGCCACCCGCCGCCGATATCGCCGTTTTACATGAGGGGTATAAGCTGCAGCCGCTGCAGGACATGGGGGTGCAAGGATTTGGGGGTATTGCGTGTGTGGTGTGCTAGTGCCTACCAACCTAGGAGGTGTGTCAACTCATATATTTTATATATATAGTTGTGTAGGCTTGTTAGGTGTTCTACAATTGTGGATCCTACTATAGAGGGTACAACACCCTTCTTGTATCTCTCTCTCTTTTCTCTACTCACTTTCCCTACCTAGCTAAAACCTCTCGCTATTTTCCTGACTTCCTTGGCTTCTTCTAACACGGACTGCATGCGTGGTTTTTGCCAAGGTCCAGTCATGCCCCTCACACCTCCTACTACTCACCTTAGACTACCTGCATCGTTTTGGCGAAGGACCCGTCGCGATACTCACATCTGCTCCAGCTTGCCTCAGACTTACTGCATGATTTTAGTGAAGGACCAATCACGTCCCTCAAACTCACTCAGGACGCTGAAATTGAAGCAACAAGTTACAGTGTAGCGGACAGTGTGTTAACTTTAGTACCCTGTCCACTCAGGGTTTTTTTTTTTTTTTTTTTTTTTTTTTTTTTTTTTTTTTTTTTTTTTTTAAACGAATTCACCATGATTTTCAAAGAGTGCATAAATTTTAACCCTAGGAGACAGGGCAATCATTTTTAGGTACCTTGATTACCAAGAGTGCCTCTAAATCAATTTTGGGCCCTGGTCAGATAAAAAGACCCAGACCGGAACACTATGCACCAAACGAAATGAAAAGAAGCGTGTTACGACATTTTGAAACATTGCGAGAGGGCCACGATGCACCTTGCGTCTACATGATTCTTGGGAACACGGTGCGACAATATCAAAGTTGCACAACTCAACCAAAACTCGTGAAGTGCGAATTTTTTTTTCGAAGTTGTCGTTCAAAAGATCCATAAGTATGCTTCTGGTTTTCACAACGGAATGATCTCGTAG